ATTGTTTTACACAATTTTCTAGCTTTTCTTAGGCTGGAAAAAATAATAATTTCATTATAACCCCATAAAGTATATACATTATTGAAAGTTGAAAACATAAAAATATGAATAGAAATAACAAAAGCACTTCCCGAAAAAATATATAGAAACGATTCAAATTGATGCCATTGTTTATGTATTAACATAAACGACTATTTTCTGAAAATTTTGAATTTTTGAGAGTATTTTATAATATTCTACAGAAAGAAGAAGACCTGCAGTTCTTTTACAGGGAGAAAACTGCATACAGCTCATCTATAGTTTTAATACACTTCAGTATAGTGATACTGACAGAGAAGTTTTTAACCGCACGCGTGCTCTCTCGCGAGAGTAAATATCACTATTCTGTCACACACATTCAACTGAACCAATTGAAAAACCATTGACACACACACAAAGACAAGTGCGTGAGAACAAAACTTTTTACGCTCTGCCCGCACCTTCTCTATATACAAATACTTGAACTATTGAGCTGATATTATTGCCTTACAGGAAATACGATGGAAAGGGACAGGCGTAGTTGTCATCAAAATGAGTCATGCATTTGGCTGCAGATTTATGGCTAATAGGAGAATAAAAGACCCTGTCTCCAGGTATACTCCAGTAGATGAGCGAATTGATATTATCCATATAAAAGCGATGTTCTTATTAGCGGCCATGCTCCGACGGATAACAAAAATGAGCAAACCAAAGACATATTTTACGGGCGCTTGAAAACATCATATGACATCTGCCCTGGCCATGACATTCAAATTCTGCTAGGAGGAGAAAATATTTTTGGACCCACCGTTAGAAAATTCAACCTCCATGAAGAAACATCTGACAACGGCGTGAGGTTGATTGACTTCTCGGCAGCAAAAAACATGGTAGTTAATAGCACCAGATTTAAGCATTTCGATGTACATAAGGCCACCTGGATTTCTCCCGATCAAATCACGAAAAATCAAATTGATCATGTTGTGATAGACGGAAGGCATTCATCCAGTGTTTTAGACTTTCTATCGGTCCGAGGTTCGCACTCGTCTTAATGATGCAGAATAGGTAACACGGATACTCAACGTCGAAAAGCTGTTGCAGAAGCTTACACCGGTCAACTTACCCACTTGCTAGTCGAAAGCACTCCTTGTACGATAATAATATAGAAGCACAATGGCAAAGAATTGTCCACTCCCTACAAACAATCAAGAAACCACCATCAACAAACCCATGGTACGATCAGGAGTGTCGTAATGCAACTGAGGTGAAAAAGGCAGCATATAGATCAACCATGCAAACAGTAGCAACACGCAATGCGAGAGAGAATTATCGGGAAAAAAGGAGAGAGAGAAGAAACGTATTTTCAAAAAAGAAGAAAGAACAAGAAAAACTTGAGCGTGAGCAATTCGTGATGTACCGAATGAAGTCCAGAAATTTTACCAACAAGTGAAATATAAAACAGAAGACTTAGGTGCAGACACATCCTCCTGTAGACATGAAGAAGGAAACCTGGTGACAGATACAGACAGCGTGATGAGGATCTGAAAGGAGAACTTTGGAAAGCAACGGTGAAGAAGATATCCCAGGACCAACAAGAGATGATGGTATAAATTGGCCATAATATCAATTAATCGGCTGAAGAATAATAAAGCACCAGGCGCCGATCGAATACCCGCCAACTATTCAATACCGGACGCTGATCAGGAACACGCACTTACTGTGTCCCGTGCACAAAAAGGAAACCAGACTATATGTGCCAACTATAGGGAAATTAGTCTGCAATGAACTGAAGCCAATGGTCAATTATATGGATCGTATCAATGCGGCTTCAGAAATGGCAAATCCACTATAGGCCCGATGTTCAAACAGCGCCAACTCCTAGAAAAGACCCACGAAAAACACATCGACAGATTCCACCCATTCGTCGACTATAAAGCCGCATTCGATAGTCCAATCCGCTCAGAGGTGTTTACCGACATGTCTGCGTTCCGCATTCCTTCAAAATTAATACGACTATACAGAATAACTTTAAGTGGCATAAGGACAACAGTTAAGGTCGGAAATGACCTCTCGGAGCCCTTCAATACCGAACGAAAACGTGTGGCCTATTTAACATCCTGCTGGAAAATGTTATACGAGAACAGAAATTGACACTCTATACGCCAAACAGCATATGTTACTCGCCTACGCCGACGACATCGACATAATGGGCCGAACTTTGCAAGCGGTAACAGCCACCTTTGAACGAATTGAGAAGCAGTCTGCCAAAGTGGAACTGACAGTAAATGACGAAAAGGTCCAGCTGATGGTATCAAAGCGCAAGACGTAGAACTTGAAAACTACAGCTTCGAGGTAGTGAATGATTTTATATACCTCGGTGCCGCCATAAACAAAACTAAAAACATCAGCTTTGAAATCCGGAGGAGAATATTGTTGGTCAACGGATGATAATATGGTCTGAGTGAGCAACTCAAAAGCAAGGCCACCTCTGTGAGAATGTATGAAAATCGCCTCAGTTCTAAAGTCATATGAAAGCGAGCCAAATGATGGTTCACGCAGAAGGGGAAGGCCACGAATCCGATGGAAAACTCAAGTAGAAGACAACATCTCGGAAAATGGTCATTCAAATTGGATGAGATGCGCACAAGTCCGACGGGCTTGGAAATCTTTTGAAGCTCGTCTTATGGAACAACCGTTCTGCCATAAGCCAGTTAAGTAAAGTAATTTTAAGTTCTATAATATCGAACATACTAACACACATTAATATTTGTACTAACAAATTCTCATAATTTTTAAATGAACCCCTGTTTAGATTTAGACATAAAATTTGTCGAAAACGGCGAATAAATCCGCAGACCTGGAAATATTGTCCAAAACATCATACACATATCAGAAACCAGTGAGCGGAGCAGTATAGTCGTACGGGGCCGACCATATGATACCCTACACAACTTCTACGAAAATCGAACTTCTGTTGTTCTATATTCTAAGCTTGGGCAATATTTCGCGATATTTGCACCCTCTTGACCGACTAGAGGGCAACAAATATTACTAATATTCAGTATAGTCCTTCTAATTACTTGGCCAGATTCCTTCCCCGCGGGTTGTGTTGTGATGTTCGACTCGAAAAAAAACACAAAAAAATAAGTTTTCGGTCCAGTTTATCCCAATATTATTATCTGATCATCACCGAAAATTACAGGCGTTGACTTTGATCATACCTCGATTATTTAGCAGATATATATATATATATATATATATATATCATACATGGATCCTCATGGAAAATTTCAAAATATATTTCCGCCCTCTAGTGTGCTAATGGGTTACTAAATTATATATGAATACGTAAGTACCTGTAAATATTTATGTGTAACTCCCACATCCGAGTACATACGACAATATAATTTGTATCAATTGAAAGGTCAACCATTCCTCTTGGATACACTATCAACTTCTCGGGTCTATGTCCGTCAGGAGGTTATATATACGCCATAGAATACAAATTGTATCATTTTTCACACAAAAGTCAGGGTCCATTTGACCCGCTAAATATTGACCGATCTTTATCAAAACATGCATGTTTATTCTTTAGCCCGATCCCCTTATCCATGTAAAATTTTGCGGTGTTTGGTCCATAATTGCGGCCTCTGGAGCGACCAGAAAATCTGACAAAAATTAAGTATTTGGTCCATTTCATCCCCTAAATATTAACCGATCTTTACCAAAAACAATAGGGGTCTTCATTGGCCAGAACCAATCTTACATGCAAAATTTCCTGAAGATTGGTCCATAACTGTGGCCTGTATCGTGTTTACAAATTATAATGGACAGACGGACGGACGGACACACATGTCTAGATCGACTCAGCTAGTCGAGATATGACGATCGGTATACTTAAAGGTGGGTCTAGGACCAATATTTCGCGGTGTTTCAAACTCTTGGGGCTGCACAAAGCTATAATACCCTGACAACATAGTTGTGTAGGGTATAATTATACAAGATATCGCTAGTTTACTGCAAGACCGACATAAATCAAAATTGTGATGCTTAAGTTAAGGATGCAGAATTGTTCGCTATATAAGAATTCATGTTTTGTAAACAAATCGGATCAATATTCCTTACACACTAGGATTGAGAAGCTGAAAACTTAAAACGCATTTTCAGCAAAATCTATTTTTTGATTTACCCGGTCATGCAACAAATGAGCGATATGTTAAAGGTTGAGACTATATATCTGTCGGCAATTCCGACTGATACCTTCTATCTCATTCGGATACTTCCTAGATATATTAACTGTCCTTTCATTCTTTGCGTTTCTCGTTGAAAATTACTCCAACATATTATTATTGACCTTTCTCAGGTATTGCATTTTAGAGGTTTCCATAACAATCGGCATTTCAATGTCGTCTACTTCGATGTCCACTTTATAGAAGGAACACGTTGTAGACTGTCATTTTATTATAAAATTTTATTTTATTATTATAAAAAATAACCTGTGCCTGCTAATTTTGAAAAAATGAATTAATTAAGTAAACAGAATTAATTTTATTTATCATATCTTAAAATATGTTTTGTTGGTTTATTCAATTATTTAAACATAATTACAATTAAACACAATTATGATGATCACACATAATTACAAATATTTTTTTGGGGAATATATTTCATATCAGCTCTCACAGACTTAAATTTATGCCTTTGTTCCAAATTGTGAAACATATTTGTTTTTAATAAAATATGTATATTTATTAACCTAACAGGAATTCCATATTTATGGTACGGTTTCTATATGGCGATATAGAACGAATTCTTCTTTCAACATTATTATAACATACTTCTATTGTAAGGATAGATTTTAAGACATTTTTCGACATAGAAAAACAGCATCATGGATAGTTTCTTAATTAATAATTTTTACTTAAATTAATTTGTTTCTGTTTTGTTTTTACTAAATATGTAGGTATGCATCGGTATATCAAAATGTACACTTGATCATGGAATCATTCCCTCGCTATTTATTTTCCGATCATTCATTACAGTCTGTAAAGAAACAACAACAACAATAAAACGAAATTAAAGAAACAAACAAACAAAACAAGATATAAAATTCAAGTAGAAAATATTTTCCATCAAAAGCTATTCGCCAACAAAATATTATAAACAATAAGGTCATAATTCTGTTTTCGTTCTTGGCTAAATACCTGCATTAATGACACCTTCGATTGCAGTTCGGATTCGATGGAATCTCTTTGGCCAGACGATGAAGTCAAGGTGGTTTTACGGCCGATGCTGCGATGAGAATTTTGAGATCTACGTTGTGCTGTTGATTTCTTGCCAAATAGAATTGACTGTAAAAGAAAAACAAAAGAAATGCAAAAAGAGAATCAATAACTTTTTTATTACACCAAAATTTGTTTTCAATAAATTAAACAAATAATTGCAAAACATAATTTGTTAACAGATGATGAATCACTAGGCAAAACATGAATATTGACTAGACAGACGATTTACCTTAAATGCCTGGCGAAATTTATTACTCATCAAATTGTACAGCAAGGGGTTAATGCACGTCGACAGATAGTAGAGCACCCCCGATATATATGTCATCACCGTGTAAATGACCTCATGATGATCCTTGGTGTTGCTGTTGTTGTTGTTGTTGCTATTATTATTGACATTGACGGTGCTGCTCTTGAGACTGTCTCGGACATCTTCGCTGCTTGTTAGTAATTCCACATCAGCCACAGCATCGTTAATGTCGCTTTTAATATCCGAACTATGTGCCGAGCCGCCATCCGCTATTACCCCAGGACCATAGACAGCAATTAGCCGTTGAGCATGAAATGGGGCCCAACATAAAAAGAAACAAATGACAACAGCGACTGGGGTTTTTGGTTTTTTTCGGCAGGATAACATGTAAATAGAGAGAAAAAACAACAACAAAAACAAAATTATTTGACTAAAATATCACACATAGCTTATCACGAAATACTTATTATTGTCAATAGTGTAATACATAATTGAGAATAAAGGGTGTCGCATGTTTTTGGGTGATATGTTTTTTGTCCAATGATGTACGATGTTCATTTTTATTTACTCACAAAAGCCTGAGTTCATTTACAATTCTGTTGTATTGGCCGATTTTCAACGGGAAATTAAGATGACAAATTCAATACAGAAAGTTTTGAAGGATGTTAGAGGATACCCCATTCATGGGATTATATATCGAAGATTTTCCATGGAAATGCAATCAAAATCAAGTACGAATGTCACCTGCCAAACGTTGTATACCCTCCAGTGTATCTTCCCAAAATACTAAAAAGGTCTGGGCTTTATTTGGAATATTTATTAGGGTATTATTAATTCTCTGCAGGAGGAGAAAAGGAAATACAAATTGCACACGTTAATAAAACTTATTTGCAGGAGAAAAGTCCAGATCGCTAAATTTTGGAATCGGATTTTGATATAATAAACCGGATAAATTTATAAGCACATAATTTTTCCGCCCCTTAAAGTCTTATTGCACAGTGTTACAAATACTTAGGTTGGAAAATTCGGCTAGGACCTTCAACATACTGGAATAAAAAAAGCGGGCCGTTAAATAGGGGATTTGTCAAAACATTTAATTATTTTGAAATTTTTTGGAACCTGTGGCTAAACCTGTAATAGAGAGTTGCTCTTCAATGGGAGATACTGCAAAACATATGACCTCTACTGCAATTTGTCTGCAAATAACCTTTTTGCTCAAGAAAATGGTGGGGGCGTTAATATGGAGCTATGTGAAAATATTGGCCTCTTGTGAATATTTCCAGTAAACATACTTTTCCACCTCCTAGAAATCGGAGTGGCAAATTATATTCCCTTCGGCTTAGAAATATCGAAAATAAAAAGTTAACACCTTACTCTATATGGGGTCAATACGCAAACGTGGCGATCGAAGCAAGAATATTCGTCGAAAATAAGAACTAATCGCATTCAAAAATGGTATCGAAAATGTTATGGCTATAGAATTAATTGTCATTTGTCGTGCCATCATTTTTGACAAAGATTTGAAGACAATGGTCGTGCGAAAATGGCCGGTTTGTCACAGAAAATTGATGGTACTGATAATGTAAGGTCGTCATATCACATATCGTGTGATTTCCTCCCAACATGTATTCGATGTAGAATGAAAACCTGGCAGTAACAAAGTTTGTTCTCGTAGGATCCCGTATCTGGTCGATTGGTGCAAATAAATTTTGTGGTGATTTTAAAGATTTATGCGTGTGAACCCGAAGGAAAACTGCATTCGATCATGTGGGTCTGTGAAAACGAACCACATCCAACGATAGTTACTCAGGGAATAAACACTTCTTCGGCATAACTGGTCAAACTGAAGACTTTTCTGCTTGAGCAGCGTAGGAGATCAATTTCAAGTGGTACAGTTAGGAGTGAAGTCTTCGAAAAACAAACAAAGGGAAAACCAAATACTTATGCGCCTATCACACATAGCTTCCGTCGTACAATGGGGACTTGGAACCGTAGGACTGCAGTTTATTTCCGAACATCGAAGAATGCCTAGTTAACGATCTTGATTTTGGAATGTATTGTATAATTCATGCATATTTTTTTGTCCAGTTCATATGTGTTTATATATTTGTATTCCTGTCCATCAAATACCAGTTTCTCCTACCTAAATTCCTATTTTGGTGCACCGATCGTAATATCTCGACTAGCAGAATTGACCCAGAATGGGTGTCCATCTGTCCATTTTAATTTTTAATTGGGGAACGAAGTTCGGTTTTGTACAAAGACATCACAATAAATCGTTATTATTTAGGGTATGAAATTGACCAAAAAACTTAGTGTTAGTATGTTTTTCTAGGTGTTCATAAGGCTGCAAATATAATCAGGCCAGCTAAAAAGCATCGTTGTCTTAAGGCTGATCGGCCAACATTTAGCGGATCAAATAGACATGCAGGGTCAAATAGACATACACTGCAACCAACTTCAGGCTGTTGTCATTTCTAAGCCACTCTTCCGACAGCTGTTAAAATTATTCCAGTGACAGCTCATTATATTGTCTACAAGCGTACAAAAGCATTTGGGTGAGAATTTTCCAGAAAAAAAGTTATTCGTGATGGAATTCAAGTTTGATAGTGTGATTTCTTTATATTTGGCTGGAAAACCACAAGCGGCTATCGTTATTAAATCTGAATAAATCTTTGTATCTCGTACCATCATTCGTTATCGTGATACTGATAATGTAGCCCGACGTCGAGGAAGTGGACGGAAGAAAACAGCAACATCAGCAGAAATGGTTCGAAAAGTAAAGAAGAGACTTGATAAAAACCGGCGTCGCAGTGGCCGAAAATGGCTCGTGAGCTGAACATACCGCAACAGAAAGAAAATAGACTCAAAGGAGCTAAAGATTTGTTTCGCTTGGTCGAAAGTGGTGAACTGCTGAATTTGGTTTTCTCCGATGAGAAAACATTCGTTGTCCAGCAGTTTGTAAACAAACAAAATGGTCGTGTTTACTTGCCAAAGAGGTCAGCTGAAATTTTGCACCTTAGGTTGGCCACCAAGAACTCAAGCGCCGGCCATGGTGATGGTGTGGGCCGCCATAACAGCCGATGGTCGCTCTCCGCTTGTATTAATCGACCGTGGCATCAGAATAAATGCCGAATATTATCGCCTTGGGCACGCAAACATTGTGGCCGCTGACCTTGGGCATTCCAACAGGACTCTGCACTAACGCACTCAGCACCCGCCACCCATGAATGGTTACAAAATGAGGTTCCTCGCTTTATTTCCAGCGCACAATGGTCACCAAAATCTCCGGATACCAATCCGGAGCGCACAATGGTTGAGATTACCTTTCAGAGTCTTTAGAAGAATTTTAGAATACGAGCTATGCTCAGAAAAAACCCCATTATTTCGATTTTTCTCAAAAATAATTTATTCATCAATAAGTACCATTTAATAAATTTATGCTAGCTCCGGAACACTGCTTGAAAGTTTTGTTTCGTATAGCCAGCAGCTTCTCTTTCTATTTTAATTTTATCTCCTCAATCGTAGCAAAACACTTTCCTATCATCGGTGTATTCGGAAGCGGAAACAGTTAGCGGGACCCATGTCGTTACCAAAATCCCTGACTGGGAACGCAAAGCGAAAGGGCGTATTCGAGAAATTTGGTCGAGCAGAATTGTCATTTAATTTTGAGTTTTTTACTAGTTTTTCGTTCCAGAACTTTTCGTATTGTTTAGTTCTCTGAGAGAGATTTTAACATTTTTCCTTTTACTAGATTTACCATTGAAAAAAAAAACAGAATGAGCATCATTATTGACATCTTCTTGGCATTTCCAACATCACCAATTTATTGACTAGTTTCCTATAAAAGCTGTCATTCCAATGTTACAACTAGTTAAAATTGCTAATATTTGATTATATCTAAAATGGTGTCTAGCTAGAGTATTTGTAAATAGTACTCACATACATATCGTATATTTTTATGTATATTGTTTGTCTTGTAAGTGTTCTTAAAATAAATGTTAATTATCATCGAATATTAGTTCTATGATTGTCATTGTTTGACATTTTATACGATGTTTCACATCAGAGCTGTACAATTTAGGGCACATTTATTAATTAATTACAAATAAATTCTAATGTAGAATATTGTTTATTTACATTATTAAATTTGTTGTGCTATGATTAATTGCGATAATTTATTAGTTTCAAAATAAAGGCTAAGTGATAAATGGATTTTTTTTAAAAATTTTAAATTGTTGAAATATTTATTCGACACGCAGAATTCTATTAGTTTCAGTAAAAACAACAAAAACTGATACAAATTAATACAATTTTATTTCGAATAAAAAAACAAAAACTAATCGAAATATTATGAAAAAATCAGCATGTTTTCCAAATAAAAGCACATGAATGTAAATGAATTGGGAGTAAATAAATGGCCATTGATAATTGGCTATAATGGCACAGTGTTGCGATGCCTATATGTAAGAGGAATTATTATTTTTGTTTTCATATAAATTTCAAAAGGTACATTGATTATTAATTTTTAAATAATGAATTTTCTGAGGCCCTAAAGGGACTAGATTTTTTAAAAATATATATTTACATAAGAACAAAAATATATATATTTTTTCAAAGGACCAACAAGGAGTGGATTTTTTTAAGAATATTTTGTCAAGGACAACGAGGCTTGCATTTTTATACCCTACACAACTATGTTTTCAAGGTATTATTGTTTTGTGCAGCCCCAAGAGTTTGTAACGCCGCGAAATATTGGTCCTAGACCCACATTTAGGTATACCGATCGTCATATCTCTAGCTGAGTCGATCTAGACACGAGTGTCCGTCCGTCCGTCTGTCCATTATAATTTGTAAACACGATACAGGCCACAGTTATGGACCAATCTTCACGAAAATTTGCATATAGGATGGGTTGTGGCCAATGAAGATCGGTTAATATTTAGGGGATGAAATGGACCAAATACTTAGTTTTTATCGGTTTTTCTGGTCGCTCCAGAGGATGCAATTATGGCTCAAACATGGAGAAGGGGATCGGGCCAAAGAATGAGCATGCCTGTTTTGATAAAGATCGGTCAATATTTGTGTGAAAAATTACAAAATTTGTATTCTATGGCATATATTTTACTCCTGAAGGACATAGACCCGAGAAGGTGATAGTATATCGAAGAGGAGAGGTTGGCCTTTGAATTGGTACCAATTATATTGTCGTATCTACTAGGATGTGGGAGTTACACCAGGTCTGAAGCCACATTGATGCTTACGTATTCAGATATTATTTAGTAACACTAGAGGTCGAAAATATGGTGTTGATCGCTTTGAAATTTTCTATGAAGATCCAGGTATGGTCAAGGACAACGCCTATAATTTTCGGTAATTATCAGATA